AATTACAGATATACGTATACATATATATATATATTTACTTATCAATGAACGAACAACATAAGGCTTCTTTCATTTTTGATATCGCATAAGTTTTCTTGTTTCCCTAAGTAATAGCGCAGACATATACATAAACTATAATATGGTAGTATGCGCCGGCGCGTGTGACGTCATCGCCGTGTGTTTAAGTTGATGCCGGTTGCGTACGCGCACACATCTCGTTGTATCTCCGAGCTGCGATGATCGCGCACGTTATCATATAAGCTATATTACATGCTACTAGTTCTATAATGTCCTATAACATGAGAAGTGAACATAGTTGATATTACCGATCGACTATATTTCCAAATAAACCTTCAAAAGCAGCTCTGAGAAATGTTCTTAATACAAACCACATTCTTATTAAAATACAGTCGAAAAGGAAAACAGCCTGCACGGTGTTCCCGGATCATCACAGCGTTGCTGTCGGGTCATTATTTATGGCAAATATCCTTATAATCGGTGGACATTTTAAAGTGCTAGTGACGATACTGTATAGTGATTTATATAGCGGTAAAGTAACTATAATTGGTGTATTAGAACCCGAAAAAGGCCGGTTTAATTTTCGTTTGCAATTAATTGTGAGATATGACGGTGCTATACGATGGCTCGCGGGTTCGTGGCCTCTGCAGGCAGCTGTTGATGGTGGTATTGAGTGAGTACTTTTAATCCGCTCGTTTAAACCAGGTTGTTGTCGTGAAGTATTTTATACTTTTTCATATCATATACGTCGGGGAAACATTTAAAGCACTTTTATAGGCCTATTCCATACCTATGCCTTCTCCATTCGTGACGGGTTTCATAAGAAATGTACTGATGAATAGACTTAGAAAACGAATCTCATGTTTCACTGCAACTCATTAAGTGTACTTGAGAGCTTGAGCTATCAGAGGTCTAGTGGAACTGATGAATTAACGACTAGCGAAAGTGTAAAGAGTGCTTGAGAAATTCGTCAGCGCTGTTGGGTGCAGTCGCCTGGACTGTGTGCCTGGGTGAATTATTGAGCACTAACATACTAAGTATTCTGTACAAAACAGTTTATGTAATAATTAATGAAGTTAATTTGCTACAAAACTATTTAACGAGTGTGTAACTGTAATGTAAATAAATTAAATTAGTGGCGCGTGTACTGAAAAAAGGTTTCCATAGAACTCTTTGGTGTTTCCATAGACTAGCCGACTCACACTTGACTTTTGAAAAATAATTATTTATTTAACTTAGGGTACTCCAGAACGAGACCGCCTGGACAACATCGATACATCGAACAACATTACTTAAATAATTGATTAAGAAATCTAAATAATTTGACCTTCACAACATATAAGCAATAGTTGGATACAACAAATTATAGGTAATAATACTCTTAATTAAAGTATAATTTAATTGGTCGTTAATGTTAGTATAGCTATCGTGTTTTATGATAATGGCCGCTTTGGAGGGACTGGTTCTCCGGCGATGGGTACACGGTATTTAGTTTGAGATTTGAAATTTTGTTTGAAATTGATACACTTTATTAAAACAGGTTTTACTTATTGAACTATCGCTTCTCCATTGACCTCCGATTTATTATTATTAAAAGCGAAAGTCATTGCAATCGAACGTGTAGCAAGAAAAAACAATTAGATACAACTGAACCGCAATCGAATCATTAAACAAAACGATATGTCGTAAGTTTATTTCTCTTATTTAAGCCACATTGGTTTTTAACGCACGTTAAATCACTTCTGATTCTAAATGTTAGATGAACGTGGTGTGCCTGCTGTATAAAGCCCATGCTTAAATTATAGAATAGATTGACATTTGAAATTTTGATCATTTTTGTACTATCATTTATTTTTCATACACAATGTATTTTTCGGGGAGTGACGCGGGCGTTAACACGCCACCGATCCACACTGAGCCCGCATGGTGGGTGCTGCATGCTGCATGACATTCTGCACTGCCTAGCTTAGCTTGGCTTCCCGTACGTGAAAGAACTTTATAATTAGTACAATAGGTTCGGAGCCTATTTAATGCAAACAAACAAGCAATCAAATATTTCCTTTTTATACTATAAATATAGGGTAATGGAAAAAAAATATGCCGAGCAAATAAACAAAATTTACATGTTTTTGTACCTATAGAAATTTAATATTTTAGTGACACCTAATAAGTATATAAAAATATCAATACTATGTACTAAAAAGCATAAACCATTTTTTGGCCTATTTTATGAAAAAAAAAAATATACTCTCTCTCGAAAACAGCTTGTACACATGACTCAGAAGGGTGATGGGTCTGTAATTCTTCAATTGGGCCCTGTCGCCCTTTTTGAAGGAAAACACCACCACGCCCCTGTGCCATACTTCTGGCGTCTAGCTCTCGAGAATGGCGGATTTAAATAACTTCTGAAATCTGTCCTTACGATAAACTATATAACTGTCATCGAATAGTTCATTTGATGACATCCGGGAATTCAACGTTACGTACGTTATAGTTAGAAGATATAACATTGTTATATAAGTCATTGATTTTTGTACAAAGTCCTTGAACATTTTGATAGTATAATTCCAACATTTGGCAGTTAAACTACATTTCATTGATTATTGAACATTAAATTTTAAGCTCTCGAAATATTTCGTTAATAAGGCTTGACTATTTTCATCTTTCCGAACATAGACACGCCCATTCCGAATCCAGACAAATATGTACTTCATATCTTTAGACATTTTCCTAGTTACTGCATGTAAAGATTTGTTGGCTGGTGTAAAGTATTCAGATACACAAAAACAGGTAAGCGCGGTCCACCAATGCCAGGGTGGTGCGATGCCAATTACGGTATCCACCAATTTTCAGATCTATGTTCAGGTATTCTATTAATCTCATTATTGCTATCCCTCATACTAGCTCGATTGTATTCAGTCTTTGTGTAAGATCGCAGTAGCCGCAAAGTGATTAATTTCCGACTTTAAACGATCAATGATAGTAATTTTTTGGCCTAAGTGTGATTTCAATTATAAATTGTGCATTCATGAATGACATCGAATCACCCATACTTGCATTTTCATAAGGTGCAACTTGAGATGGACGTATAGGTGTATTAGCGTTACCCGTCTCGGGTACCTTGCTTGCTGCAGCGCATTTCCAATAGGATGTCTGACTTGTCTCCATAATTGAAAAACGCTTGAAGCCGACGTTAGCACAATCCACATCGTATTTCAATTTGCGAGTACAACAATTAGAAATTAATTTCTTTTGGTTATTGGGTTACGAAAACCTGCACAGATCACTATAGGTACCAATTTTAACAATCTGAGAACTTTCCTTTTTTTCTTTTTACAATTTGTACGAAGCACTAAACTGTTCAAGTAGTTGAAGTGCGCTTCAACGTAGCACAGACCTGTTCAAGTATTTGGAATGCGTCTGAACGCAGCATGAAATACTCGTTGAGCGACGACAGCTCAGAATATTATGTGGTGGAGGTTAATTTTATGTCGATGACATTATCTTAATGTTTGGTATAATAATTATTCCACGATGACAGTTGCACACATTGACAGGTCTTATTTTCTGACACAAAATATGATAAGCACTGTACTTGGGGACTAGCCGCATCGCGTTTTTATTTCGCGCGAATTTCAGCACTAGCGGTAGAATGATGTTACGCGGTTCGTCTCCCGTCTACCCGGCGGCCGCCTAAAATGACGAAGTTGATATTGAAATGTTTATAATCTACTTCAAAATAGGCCTCCCATATGAGACATATTTCAGGCAAACTATCATGATAGGTAATTGAAAACGAGGAGTGGGAAGATGTATACAATGACTTGAATCTATTAACAAAATAAATTTGTTCTGTAGTTAATTTTTAAGGTTCCGTACCCAAAGGGTAAAACGGGAACCCTAGCTGCATAAAACTGACAAAATTCTCGCGGGAATAACGATGCGGACAAGGTGTTATGTGATTGCAAAATAAAATCTGTGCGAATAAAATTCGCGCGATTAAAAATCACGATGCGGAAAGTCCCTCAATCTCAAGTTTTCTAGGTGTACAGTGTATTTGCTGTACAGATTATACAGTCTGTACAGACACTGTTAGTTAGGTATTTGTACCAATATTTAGTGAAGTTGTATTCGTTATTTAGTGGTTATGAAGTGCAGAGAGATGTAGTCTTCAGGTGATTTAATACCATTTATTCACGTGCACAGTTAAGTTAAAGTGGTTTTTACTGGACGTTAAAAATTGGACTAAATTACATTTTACATCTTTATTGATTAGGTTATGTGGAGGTAATATAGACGTATTTTAGCTTAAAATTACACTCTTTTAGTCCACTGGCAATGTCAATAAAAATATACAACATTCTGCCAAACTCAATAAAAAACTTAAATAAAGAAAAATATAACATAAAACAAATAAAGAATTTATTAACTAAAAAGAATAACGAGTATTATACCATACAAGAGTACCTAAGTGAAAAACTTTACCTCTAATTAAAACATAATACTGCTTAATTTAAATATCTGCTAAATAGGTAAGTTTTCAAAACATAAATTATTTAGTTTATAAAATAAAGGAAATACTTATTACCAATATTTAAAAGCAGTGTCCTTCCCTCTCTCCAAATTTGCTGTGCCCGATTCGACGGGGTCCATTATGATACTTTTGTTTTTTTTATAAACGTCCTAATACTAGATTGTGGCATACAATAAATAAATAAAAATAGCTGGCTTTTGGCCTTACTAGGTATTTAATCAACTGTATGGGATAAGTAGAAATAAATTATCATCGGTACAATCAGAATTGCTTTCAATAAAGTTATTGAAGTAAAAGATCTGTTTGTTAGTTTGTTATTACCCTAGCTAGCGTGCGGGTGACATAAACTGTAATGTACGCGGGCGAAGGCGCAGGAATACAGCTAGTATAGAATATTTTGTACGGATCTGTTTCAGTTAACGTGCCAACAGTGTCGCTCGGCCTCGCTATGGGCTGGGTCTCGCTTGCCAGCGGGGAGCACGGCGGGGGCGGGACGGTGGACGGGGAGTCGGGGAGGAGGGTGGTCGTGGCCGCCGCCACCACGTTCTTGGCGTCGCTGGTGGGGGTGCCGCTCAGTGCGCGCGCGCTCACATACGGCAGGAAGTTTGCTGTCATCGCCACTTCGGCTTGCTTCGTTGTATGTACTATTTTATTAACAAAAAAATAAATATGTTAAACGATATATTGATCATTTATCTTATAGAACTGCGAACTGCGAGTTGAGTAACTTTCGTAAGAGCCGGTCGTAGGATGGCTGACGAAGACTAAACTATCTCGTATTCGTAGCAGAGGGAACGTCTATAAACTGTCAACGTTAGAGACGATAGCAGTAGTTAAAATGAGTGTCCGGTGCAGGTGTGCTGGTCGCTGAAGCTGTCGGGCGGCGGGTGGCGGGTGGTGGGGGCGCGCGTGGCGGCGGGGCTCGGCGGCGCCGGCGCCTACTCCGTGCCGCCGCTCATAGCGCGAGAGGTTCGTCATACGCACAGAAACACCGGGGCCATCCTGTAACGACACCACCTTAGCTTCAGATTTAAACCAAACGCTGTGCATGTTCAATACTGTTTTTAGCTCAATGTATTTATTACACGAACACATAACTATAAAAGTAGTTTGCATAAATCCAACGTTGGCGGAATAGTTGTCTTTGAGCACTTTCAATGGATGGATACACACAAACCTCAATATGGGTATCAAATAAGAGGTTTCGATGTGGATGAAGGCGGTTCAATTTTTGAAAAGTAAAAAATTATTTCAGTATTTTTAGTAATATTTATATTGGCAAAGAGAAGCTCCTGTTCTTGAAGTCGGTTAGAAATAACTAAAAAAAGTAAAAGAAAATCATGAAAATGAGCTAAAAGTAAAAGCAAGCAAAGTACTCAAGTCGAACTTTCTCTATACCTATACATTCACACACATGTATAAGTAGGTATGTGAAAGGCTATTGCAACATTTATTATGATTATTATCTGTGTACATTTTTTATCGCACTACCTAGAATTGTACAGTTTTCCCGGTTGATTAAATTATAGATGTGCGAGTCCAGTATACGCGGCGCAGCTTCATCTGCCCTCATCCTCGCTCACAACTTGGGTTTCCTGGTGATGTACATGGCCGCTGACTTCGGGCTCCAGCACAGGTACTCCAGCATACTTCAACGGGTAGGCGGAGACGAGATTAGGATTTCTCACGTCACACAATCACGTCACAATTAATGATTTTATAAATAAATAAAAATAAATATTTTGATCTACTTACGTACTCAGAAACACTACAATATGAATATGTAATGTACGGCAAAAATCTGATATGTTCATTAAAAAAGTAAAATCACGAGTCTTCTCGTTCCAAGCCCTGGCTTGGAACTCACTAAGCTGGCCTTCCTTGCAGGATACCGGGTTAATCCATTAGCGTGAGCCGTGCCCAACGTGCCCTTTTCAGGGTGGGGTGGTTTGATAGCTCTGAGTTAGGCCTAAAGTTCCATTTCTTCATAAAATTAGTCACAGTCACTACTATCTTTACTTAAAATTATGTTTATTTATTACTGGTTTTATTCGATATTGATTTGGGTAATGACGCGGTTGTTAAAGTCGTTCTTCTTGTCAGCTAAAAGACTTCCGAAATGTATGGGAAGTCAAATGTATTTCCAAGAACTAAGTTTTAGATTTGTGTAGATCTTCTTATTGATATAGTGTTTATATATATCCCAGCACGGTATTGTGGTCGTGCCTGGCCGTGTCGGCGGTGCACTGCGTATTGTTTCTACTGGTGCCAGAGTCACCCGCGTATCTCGCAGCCACTGGCAGACACCAGGTAATATTGAATTATTAATTATTAAATTAAGCAATTTTAAGAAAGGTTGACTTGCTTGGCATTGCTGATCGATATAATAAATCACCATAAGAACGGGTTAAAGCATGTGTATTTCCTATCAAAGAATACCTAAATAACAAAATGAATGACTGTTAAATATATCATCCAGATCATGACAGAAATGTTTTTGTATTGTATGCCACTTGGCATAAACTATCTCATATTCTTCCGTATCGTTGGCGGCTGGCTGTACGTGCAGGATGTTAGCATTCACCAATCAGTATTGGGCTTGCGGAGTGTGTGGTATCACAGGGCAGGTCTGTCCTTCAGCAGTGGGTACATAATTGGCCGATGATGACAATAGCTAAGGAAACTATAGTGGATACTTATTACAAATGTAATGAAGCGTTTACACTATTGTAGGAGGCAGCGGCATCACTGGCGTGGCTGCGCGGTCTACCTACAGGACACCCCACACTCGACGCTGAGGTGGCCGCGCTCCCACCACCAGACCCCGCACCGATGTCTCCTATAGCCCTGTTCAAAGATATGCGTGAGTTACTGTATTCATTTCATCGGCCAATAAACAGACAGCAATGACGGACCGATGAAATAATAGCCAATGAAACGATCAATGAAATTTAGACACATATCTCCCGCACCATACACGTGAACCACAGTGACCGATGTAAATCAGCCATTATACTTGCAGTTGGGCGAGAGAGTCGTGGTAACGATGAAGATCAGCTTTTGTTGATGTGATTATGAGGGTGCTGTGTTTTGATTGTTAATTTTTATAAAAGTTTAACGAAGAGATTCATATTTTTCAGAACTTCTGCTAATCGCTAGTTAAATTACCACCTTCAGTAAAGGAATGTATGGTTTCAGTAAGTGATATGGGTCGTCGCCGGGCCTTCATCATATGTTTCGTGGCGATAGTCGGTCAGGAAGCGTGCGGCGTATACACGTTGATGCAGTTTGCCGAACGAGCTTTCGTTCTCGCTAGAGACACCGGTGTCGAAAGCGCAAAACCACTAGTGAATTCTAACGAAACCGTAGCCAGAGAAGTTTCAACTTATGATGGTATCGTCGCCGATGCTCTATCGATGGCTGGAAGCGAATGGTCTAATGCGACTGCTGCTCCTGGCGAGTTGGCGAGCAGGGAAATCGTTTTGCTGTCACCGGCGCGGCAGGCTGTGATACTTGGAGTCGTGCAACTCATCGCATCCGCGATCGGTCTCTACCTCGTAGAGAAAGTAGGACGGAGGGTTAGTATCTTATATCTATATTAATAGAGGAAAATATTTGAATATTTAATATCATTATTATAGAATATTGAAATTCCTTCTTAAATTATTCCTCATACATCGTCAATATGTCCAGGGAATCTGTGATCTGTCTATGGATTTACTTGGCTTATTTCAAAGTGTATTTAGATATAATAGGTTTTTAAAGAATAATTTAGAAATACGTTCTGCATTCAATAACGGAACGCACTTACTGCTGTGTTACTGTAACGAACTCGGCATACACCTTCATACGAGATATAAAAAAATATTTCTGTGCGGCATACCTATTTTTGATATGGGATCCGACGTAACGTAATATTATTGTACCCTCTAGAAGTTGTTGGTGTGGTGTGGTGTGTTGACGGCGCTGTGCCTGTGCGCGGGCGGCGCGTGCGCGGCGTGGGCCGCGGGGGCCGCGGGGGGCGCGGGGGCGGCGCGGTGGGGCGCGGGGGCGGCCCTGGCGGGGGCGGTGGGGGCCGACAGCGCGGGCTTGCAGTCCGCGCCCTACGCGCTGCTAGCTGACATGTTCACCTATCCAGTTTATTTATCACACAATCATTGATTGATAGGCAAACAATTTATGAGTAATTATTTTGTGCGATCTGGAGCCTAAGCTAGGGCAACCCTGTAATTCAGGACTCCAGGTCCCACCCGTGAATCAACGAGCGCTCATCTCAGTGCAAGTCAATGACACAGTTTAAGTGTGTGTGTGTGTGTGTGTGTGTGTGTGTGTGTGTGTGTGTGTGTGTGTGTGTGTGTGTGTGTGTGTGTGTGTGTGAGAGTGTGTGTGTGTGTGTGTGTGTGTGTGTGTGTGTGTGTGTGTGTGGTGCGTTATTATAGAAGTGCATGTATCAGAAGGAAAATGAAAGTGCATCTATCGAGGAGATATTAGTAATGATTCTGTGTCTGTGTAATTAAGTGTGAGTAACCACTTTTCTAGAGTAGACTTGCAGTTATAACGAGTTTTATTATGGATGTTTAATATTCTATTTATTTTGTTGTATAAATAAGGTGCAAGGAAACATAAATGTCTTCTAACAAAAGTAGTACGATGAGTTGCTATGACAAAGACTCTGTCGGTTCTACGTTTTCTTGATATGGAGCTATTTCGGTCATATGGAACTTTAGAGTGTTTGTACAGAATGGCATGAAGGATAAACAGTTGGCGTATGCTGAGAACTGCACAATTACGATAAAGCATAGTAGTCGGGTACCGATATGGTTTTTTTGACATTACTTTGAGGATTGATCTTTGTGCTCTTTCTAATTTTATGATTTTAGTTTTACATGCTCCACCCCATACCGATATGCAATAACTTAAGATCGATTGCGCGAGTGCAAGATAGATGCTTTTAAGTGAGGATGGTTTCAGCACGTCTCCAAGTTTTTTAAATATCCAAATTAGCTTTCTTGTTCGAGATGAAAGATGAGCAATTTGAACATCCCAATTCAAAGTGCTATCAAGTTGTATACCAAGATACTTAATATGGTTCACTCTTTCCAATGATAAGCAGTTACATAATGAAAAAGGGTTATTTTGGTTGCAAGTGTGAATTTTTATGCAATAAGACGGATCTGGTTTTGAATTATTTGTGATAGAGAAGGATAAAAATTTAGATTTGGTAATATTTAACGTTAAATAGTTTTTGAACAGCCAATTGGTTATATTAGTTAGTGCCCTTTCAGCGACTTGTTTTGCTGAAGCCCAAGTCTCGCCCCTGAATATTATAGCAGTATCATCTGCATAGGAGAATATACTAGAGTTAATTGGTTTATAGTCACAAAGCTCGTTTATATAGACAAGGAAGAGACTTGGGCCCAGCACACTGCCCTGAGCCACACCACAAGTTATGGGCATGTCAATGCTTTCAAATGTACCGATTCTTACACGTTGTTTCCTATTAGTCAAGAAACTCTTAAATAATTTTAGAGGCATTCCACGGATACCCACACTTTCCAGCTTGTTTAGTAGGATGGGAGTAGAGACTGTGTCAAAAGCCTTCGCCAAATCAAGGAAGACACCAATGCACTTGTCTCCGTGGTCAAGAGTTGTAGCTACTTTATCAACGAGTTGAGCAACGGCATCCTCCGTAGATTTGTTCGGTTGGAATCCAAATTGAGATGATGATATTAGATTTTCTTGTTTAAGGTAATTCATAAGACGTAAATTAATAAGTTTTTCTAATATCTTCGATAATGCAGTGAGAACAGATATTGGGCGGAAGTTGTCGACACACTCTCCACTACCACCCTTATGAATGGGATGAACAATGGATTGCTTGAAACATTTCGGAAAAACACCATTATTAAAGCAGATATTGAAAATGTGGGTTAAAATTGGAACTATCGATTTTGCTGTTGCTTTGAGGAACGCTGATGGAATGTTGTCAGAACCAGTAGCAGAATCGTTTTTTAAGTTTTGTATTAAATTTGTAATTTCTATATTATCTGTTGGAAGCAGAACAAAAGAATTAGGATGATTTTTACTTTTTATAGCACATGGGATATCTGCTACAACGGCAGATTTATCAATTTCACTGGCAAGGTTCTTTCCCACGTTTGAGAAATATTCATTGATTAGGTTAATGGATGTTTGTGGACAACTCGAGTTGCTATGTAAAAGTTCCTCAGCGTGGTTTGTTTCTTTAATTGTGTTTGTGAATTTTCGAATAGTTTTCCATGTTTGTTTCGGGTTCTTACATTTATTTATTTCAGATTTTTCATATTCGTTTTTTAATCTTTTTAGTAAGTCGTTACAGAAGTTACGATATCTTCTGTAACTTATTTTAAGTATTTCGTTGTCCTGTGAGTTTTGTGTTTTTCTGTGCAGAGCGTCCCTATGTGCTATACACCTAAGTAGTCCAGGAGTTATCCAGGGTTTAATTATTCTTTTTCTATTAGCTATTTTTATGGTTGTTGTATTTGAAATTAGAGAATCTTTTAATCGAGTGATTAATGTCTCAGCGGCAGTGTCAGGATCACTAATTTCAAGAATGTTAGAGTGATCGTTATCATTAAAATACATTGCTGCCTTTGTGTAGTTGATGATATTTTTAATTTTTACAGGTTTCATTTTACTAATTTTGTTATTTAAATTTAAAAACACAGTATAATGATCTGTGATGCAGGTAGTGAGAACAAATGTTTGGGAGACAAAATTTGATTTAATGAAGACATGATCTAAGCAGTTAAATTTCCTAGTAGGAATTTCATGAGCTGGTAGAAGTCCATTCTCTGCCATAAGGTTAAGATATTCATCACTGTTCCGATCTTTATTATTTGGCTTAATGTCAATGTTAATGTCTCCCATGACAATTATCGTTTAAAAATTGGAAAATAGTTTTAGGTTTGTATCAAGGGATGACAAGAAAGGACCGATCTGTTTGTTTGATGGAGATCTGTAAATAGCCAGAATAACAATGTCGTCTTTTAGTTTTATTGACATACAATTTGCATCAAGCATATTCACCTGCTCCACCCTACACGATATATTTTTCCGAACATAAACTACCACCCCATCATTCTGGTTATAGGTAGTCAAAGAAAAGTGTACATTATAATTATCTATCTGAGGAGGCGGTTTGTGCTCAGAAACCCAGCTTTCGGTGAGAGTTATTATATCACAGTTAAGGGCCACCATACTCAGCACAACCAAGAAGTCGTCCAAGTTACAGTGTATACTTCTGATATTCTGGGTAATGATTTTTAGGTTATCATCCGATAATTTGATGTTGCTTAAAAGTTCTTTAGGTTCTACTAATAAAGGGTTAGATATATGAATACTATCAAGTTCCCTATTAATAAATTCAGACATTAAAATGAAAATGGTTTATAGGTGTTTTTATAAGATTGATTGTAAATATTATATAGGTAAGAGCGTGATATAGTATTAGCAACCTACATGGAGAATTATTATTACATGTGATTTCCATCGCAAACCAAGTCTTTACATAAAAAATAAGTTGTGTTTGAGGTGGATGAGGTATGTGGTAAGATATAATTTGTGTAGTGAAGATGTTATTAGTGTAAGTGTTTTCGGTGTATGTGTTATAAGTGTAATTTTATGGATTTTTATGAGTTTTTGCTTGTGATACGATGACTTCAATGATGATTGCAGTATGGAAGAAATTATAGTATAATGTAGTGTGTATGATTTTATGTGTATGAAGTGTGTGAAGTTTGTAATATTGTAAATAATGCGTCTAGAGAGTATTATTTTGTGAGTGTGATTATGTGGGTTAACGATTAAATTCTGTGTTTGTATTTTACAAAATAATTTTAAAGAGATGTAGAGAGCAAATACATAAGTTAGTTTTATTAGTCAATTTGTACTCAACGCATTTAGATCTTCTTCTTTGATAATTTTCGTGACCTTGCTGCCATTTTCCTTGCGAAGAAAGATTTGTCCGTGCTTGGTCCAGCAGTATTGGTAATTATTTTCGGAGGCAAATTTCCGTGCTTTTCCGTATAACTTTTTGGTGTTTGTTGTGAGACTTTCTGACATGTATATTATTTCTGATGGACCTTGAAGTTTAAGATGTGTGGTGTTTAGATTCATTCGTTTCGATTTTCTGAATTCTCTAGCCGAGTTCAAGAATGCTTCTTTTTTCAGAACAGTCGTAAACTCAACGATGATTGGCTTAAGAGATAAAGACTTAGAGTCATTCTCCAATAAATAGTGCTAGGGAATAATTTTTATTCTAACAATAATTGTATCACTGTACCTAAAGGACTAAAAGTAATTATAATATCACTTTCACAATCTCTATTAAAACTGAAATATTGTTTGTACCTCCTTTAAAACATAATATGTTTAAATATATACTTTCCTCTGTGTAGCCTTCGACTATAAGATTCACAGATTTTAGCCTACAGTAAGCAAAATAAACGAGATCGGGCTATCGCAGGTCTATAAAATTACCATTCAAATGTTGCTCTATCTTCAGTGAATAAATAAATCTTATTTAATTTCGTCTAGAGTACGTATTTGTAAGATTAATGTAATTCTTATCTTCTAGCTTTAATAACCTCCTCCAGACAATCAGCGATCATGATTAAAGTCTCTAATCTTATATAATTCTAGAGTGTGTGACCTTTTTGTGGCGATAAAAATAAAGTTGGATAATATTCAAGTATTTATATAATGAACTCACACAAAGCCCTTGAAATCGAACTTATCATCAAGTAAATCGACAGAAACCCAGGTGCTAAATAATTATCGGTACGTGTGAACTGGAGGTAATATCGGATGCTACATATATTCGCGGCGAGCTTGGCATTACATCAGAGACTTTTCAACTCAATTTTGTGAATTACGATAAATAATAAACATCTTAGAAGATAAACGTTAAATAGGTAATATAAGTGGTTCGTGGGGGGAACAATAATAATATAAGTAGCAAGAATGGGTCCGAACTACTCCAAAATAATGCTCGCCGACTGCTCACCTACAGAGCACGCATAGTATAATTCTTATAATATTTAATTTTGATTATAGATTTTATGTTGTAATTAAATATGATAGACTAGCAATAAGTGTGACCTATTTCACGATCTCCGCCACCGTGTTATCGTTGCAGTTTGTATCGTGTAACACTAGCAGAAATAACTCTATAATTAGATATAGTTACAACGACTCTCGTGTTTTTTTTCCTTGTCCCATCAGCCTGATAATGTTTTTGTACCTATATGAGTTTTCTGTATTTTGCATTTAACTTCACTATAAAAATCGTTCTCAATTTATCAGTTATTTGAAGTTAATCAACCCGTAACCTCTCGCTGACGGGCCGTTCGGTCGGCAGTACCGCAGCTGCGCCATGATGGTGATATCGGCGGCGGCGTGCGCGGCGGGCGCGGCGGAGGTGGGCGCGTTCCCCGCGCTGGCCGCCTCCCGCGGGCTGGCGGCGGCGCTGCTGCTGGCGGCGCTGCTGGCCGCCGCGTACGCGCTGTTCGCGGCGCTCGCCGTGCCGGAGACCAGGGGCCGAGACCCGCGCTCCATCTACCGGATGCTGGAGCGAAACGCGACACGAACTGACGAGACGCGACACGTCGGTGGACATCGTGAGGACGATGACGCGAATCGACGAGTCAGTTGCACGAGTCGCGTTTAGAGAACCGCTCCGATGTCGCTACGTCGTTCCCGTAAAAAGTTTTATTATATAAGACTAAAAATAAAATATGAGACGTTGTTCCTTCGTTTGTTCCCTTTTACCGTGTGAAAATTTACAAGGAAAAAATATTTTATTCTTTTTGGAGCGTTTAAATAAAAACCTCTTTTTTTAATTCTTTCGCTTTTAATTTATATTCTACTTTTTATTTATCGTTGGCTAGGCTCCTTAGTCTGTTAATTTTTTTGTCGGTCGTTTTCTTTCATCCATCTTTGCACACCAGCTCATCGGCTCATTCGGTCGAAGATCGACTCTTCTTCAAAATCGAGTTCAAAATTAAGTTCAAAGATTCCACTCGAACGAATATCTTGCTACATATGTACATTGCAAGTTAAAAAAAATAAAAAAACTTTTAAAACAGCTTTTAAAAAGTTAAAATTGTCGTCTTCTATCTGAAGAAGGTAAACTTACTATTTAGTTTAAAAAAATGGATGCTGGTAGAATTGTAAAAAAAATAGATTTTAAGTGTAGTATTCGCTCAAAAGCATCTTAAAAATGTCTTCGAGCTCGACGTCGAGCATAGTGCTCTTAAAGTACACAACTTCAATGAAATAAAACCTATATCACATTTCAAGAAGGTTGTATTTGAAGGAACCTGTGACAGCTGTGATAGCGTTACGTTCGACGTCGAGTGCGAGCTAGCGGACCCGACAGACTTCGTCCTGTCAAAAAGATTTGTAATGTGGCAGTTATTTGTTCCTACTTATTTTATAGTCGGGGCAAAAAATAGGAGGCATATCAAATATAAATTATTGTGTCACATGCAATATTATTATTATAATAAATAGTGATCATAGGTAACTAAACACTCTGCACAAAACACGATATACGAATTTGTTTCGTGTATTAGACAGTATCAGTTGACAAAAGCAAACTCAGTAGAATAAGTAACAGAAAATCCAAGAAAATAATACTTCCACACCGGCAAATTGACATCGACAGTTTATTTTTCTTAGTTTTTTTTTAAACTAACTAAACATCGACAGTTTGTTGTTGTTTCAATTTTCAACTTTTTTTAAATTTGATATGACTTGGAATCAAATCCTTCAGGCCGTACCAATTTTTTATGTGTGTAAAATAATAAATAATAAAACACTTTTGGTAACGCGGTTTGTGTTTGACTGATGTCATGACGTGAAAACTGATGCATTTTATGTCGCGTGCTGAAAGTAAAACAAAAGAAATAATATCGCAAAGCCGACCAAATTGAAAATCAGTACTAATGATTTACTTTAATTGAGTTTCGGAACGCGGCATTAAATCCTCCAACGATGTATTCTGTGCTCCAACGCACACACGCACACTGTATTGATATGATTGAATTTCAACTTTGTATAGCGGTAATAAAGTGCAAATTGACTCTTTGACGTTAGGAACACACCTACATTGCTTAGATAACAGTGAGTGCTTGTAATTTAATATGAACTTTATACAATAGTAATAGAGCTCAAATTGACTCAACGTTTTAGTTAGAAAACGTTTGTATGAGAAAAAGAAAAGGGCTGTTTTTACGGTTTTTTCCGGCATATATTCAAATTTTTCTCGCCGTAAAAACCATCCTTGAACTTCAACGAACATTTAAAAAAAAGAATTGGCCAAATTGGTCCAGGCGTTGTTGAGTTATGCGCTTACCAACACATTTTGCGATTCCTACTATCATTACAGGTTTCCCTAATGCGATAGCGTAGACATAGACTTTCACTTATAACATAAAACATATAATACTGCCGGTACGAATTCGTTCAATGAACAACAAAATAAATCTATAGACTTTGCAGTCTTGTTTAGACAACGCAATGTTCGTTGTATAGGTGCTTCTCTTAATATGTTTGTGCGTGCATATGGTAATGCGAACAGAGGCGGCTGTCGACGCCGCCACACATATCGGTTTGGAACGCACAACCCTACTGACTCTAACACTATATGGTTAAAAATTCGACCACGCAATATTTTAAATATGTACGTAGCTAAACTCAACTGCCTTCTAACCTCTAACTTATTATATCCAACCATGCCAAGCACAAATAACGTTGGATACATTAAGGGGTAAAACGGGTACACACCATAAAGCTTGAAATATAGAAATCTCACGAATTTGTTCTGTATCCGTTCTAGCATTAATTTGTTATTTTCTTCATATGGACTCCAAACGGATGCATTGCATTCTAGATGACTTCTTACTAGTGCTTCATACAACATCCTTACTGCATTTAAATTTGTAACCATGCGATTGACGCAGTACGAATCCCAAATTATGATAAGATTTTTTGCAAATTTTTATTACATGATCTTTGAAAGTTAGGTTAGCTGTAAAATAAACTCCAAGATCTCTCACTTCAGCTACACGTTGTATAGCTACTCCTTCATTCTGATACTGAAACTGGCGAGGTTTATGCGATAGGGTGTATGAAACTACTGAGCATTTTGAGTTGTTAAAGTATAATTTGTTTCTATGACTCCATTGTACTACCCTATTAATATCTGCTTGTAATTTGTCGCAATCCAAAATATCGTATATTTTCCGCACCAATTTCAGATCATCAGCAAAGAGAAGGCAAGTGGCATTCCTAACTACTTCAGGTAGATCGTTTACCATCAAAATAAATTCCAATGGACCCAAATTACTCCCCTGGCTGACGCCCGATCTAGTAAAGTACGGGTCTGACCACTGACCGGCCCAGTCGACGAACTGCCGTCTATCTTGCAAAGAGTGAAAGTGTTACAGCCTGCTTGTGCTAATTTCGTGAGTAATATATCGTTATCAACTACATCGAAAGCTTTCCGGAAATCAAAATACGGCACATCCACCTGAGCTCCAGAGTCTACAGTTGTGTTGTGACAGGCAGGATCGAGTGTAGTTTGACGGTATGTTTGCAGTGCGGTTGCTAGGCGACCGCGTCGATAACGCAACGTGACCGACTACGCTGACTTGTCAGACGCACACGACCTAACAATACAATTGCTGAATTAATGCGGAATTACGAAATAGGATTAATCTAATTATTTGTTCAAACATCGACACAACGCATGTGCGCCACCTGGTTGTAGGTACGAGAACGAGAGTGCTCTAGAATATATAAAGTTATGCGATTTTTGTAGTTTCAGTGATCATAGTGGTGAGTTGCAATACATATGTTATATTATCAAAAAGTATGTCTTAGTTATGAAGTAGCTGTGCATTGACTCGAATAAGAAACTTCAAGGTTAGTGTCTATTTCATTATTTAATTAGTATGCAAATTAGTATGCGATAGTGTGAAAGAATTGCATGAATTATAATTTAGTAATAATTCTTTAACCTGAAACGCGTTTTGCTGTCTTAACACCATATGGTACATTTGTTTTTCCTAAACGCTAGTTTTAATTGTATCGTGTACATTACAAATAAACGTTTAGGTTTTTTTTCACTCGTACAACATTGAGCACTGGAAAACAACTAATTTGCATTTCCTTTGCAATATGTTTACTCTGCAATAATGAACCGAAATTATTGAAAAGACTGTTATATAATGCTCGCTCGCTGTATAATTTATTATTAGCCGGTTACACCTTCCAGCGGTGGAAGCGGTGGTATGGGTCTGCTAGAAAAGCTGTCGTCGTGGCTGGGGCGCGGGCGCACCGAGGTGACAGTGCTAGTGTTGGGGCTCGACAACAGCGGCAAGTCGACGCTGCTGGACGCGCTGCGGCCGCCCGAGCAGCGCGCGCGGCATCTGGCGCCTACCGTGGCGCTGCAACAGGACCATTTCCAGAGTGAGTCTAGATGTGGCCGAACTTCAACAGCGGCACTCGATAGGAGTAATAGTTTTATGTGAATACCTCTGTTTTTGAAAATCACCATTTGCAAGTTGTCAAGGAAGAACTGCCCTCGATGAAGATAGGCCACTCGACGTATTCAGTAGAGTATAGGTTTCAGGAGGTTTTATCTACGCGGAAGTTTGTCACCTTTCGTGGACCGTTAATGTGATCGTGATGTTCATTTAAGAACGGCCAGTCTCTTGCAAACTATTCTATCTTTAATTCGTAAGAAAATATATAGAATTTTAATGCACACTCGGACCAACAACGGCAAGCTCGGTGAACTAGTTATTTTCACTCGAGTAGAGAGTTTAATTAGTGCTCAACAAGAATGATATCATCAGTTATTATAGTGCATAGATAATTCAATTTTTAATTAGTTTCCGTCGGGTGAGCACTAAACCTAAACCTCTCTGTGCGGCGCGTGCAGGCGGCGGCGTGTCGTTCAGCGCGTGGGACGTGTCGGGCGCGCCGCGGCACCGCGCGCTGTGGGAGCGCCACTACCGGCGCGCGCACGCACTCGTGTTCGTGGTGGACTCCAGCGACCGCTTGCGACTAGGTAACGCCGCGGTGCTAGTGCCGCCACCGGGTGGGCTCGTACGCTATATAATGTGCGGTGTGCGGTGTGCAGTGGTGGCCCGCGAGGAGCTGGAGCTGCTGCTGTGCCACCCGGACGTGTGCGGGCGGCGCGTGCCGCTGCTCGTGTTCGCCAACAAGTGCGACGCGCCGCACGCGCTCGCGCCCGCGCAGGTGGCCGCCGGTAACTGGCACTTCACTATTATACTCACTAAACCCCTTCCGATGCTCCTTAACGCCCGAATTATAATAGAACTACGAATGGTCCCTTCCTAAAACGTGTTGAAATATGGCGATACGTATAGCTATCCATAGAATAGAACTCTTAGTTGTTTCCGCGATGTGCTGCGTATTGTTAATATAACTAAGTCTGCATTTTATTTAAAAATAAGGCAGCACGATAGTTTGAAGTCAGCTATAATAACAGCTAGATCTAGTACGCGATGAAGAGCTCAATTACTGCTTCAAAAATACAAAAAAAAAGAGCTGCTGCACTCGAGACACATCCGTTGTAATTAATATAAATCTAGAATTTAGCATGTCAATAATTATAATATTACCAAACGTTTGCTAATAAATTGTGTTGTAATTATTGTAGAGTTCAAAAGTGTCATCAATAAGGAGTCAGTATTCGCCTCTCAGTCAGACAGTAATATTACTCCAAACTATTAATTGGTACGAACGCAGACTGTTGCACCAGAAGTCAATTAGCCTCGAGCTAACGCGGGCGATGGAGCGTTGCACGCAGGGTTGTGGTGTGTGGGTACTGACAAAATTAAGTCCAGAATAATATTACACATACTTCTAATATATGTTTCAGGCATAAGTATGTCCTTAATAAAAAACATGATAACACAATACAGTACTTCTTATCCTTAATATTATTTCTACTTGGTAGATGTAGGTCTTCCTATAGTATTATAAATATAGTAGTCCTGATTTCCTTAAAAAATTGTACCTTTTTACATACTAGCTGTTTTCCCGCTACATCACTTGCGTAAATTAATTATAACCTATGTCAGTCGATCTTTTAAAATCTAAGTCTATTCAATGCAAACAAACTATCAAATCTTACATCATTATAATAAAGTCAAAATGCCTACTCTGTTTCTTCGAAATTTCATATATTTTTGAAACGCCAATACGACTCCAAAGAAATTATTTTGGTAATTAATGACGCAACAGAGGTAGTTCTCGAACGAAATTTTTCGAATTTTCGTTCGTAGACAAACAAAGTTTCTCTTAAAGAAGTAATATTCTAAAGCGGTGTTTACGTAGCTTAAGCAATGTGCGTCCATAATTTCTCCTTACTGTGAGATGTTGTCTTAGTGTTTAATTGTGAAATATGTTTTTCCAAAGAAATATAGACGGAGTATATTTTCAGACTGGAGTAATAGTATCCGCCGGACTGTCGTGTAGTCTGTGGCCGATTGAGGCATGTCACAACCTCGCACAGGGTTACCATCCGAATGGATAAGTCATGTCTTAGCTCCTAAACCGATATCAGACACTTCAAATCGATTGTGGACAAATATAAAGTTTTTGAACGTTGACATCGAGCACAGTACGGCACGTGGCGATCAAATCAAACCTACTTCTAAAGATAATTCAGTTTTATCTGATAGCACCTATATAACGTGACAGCGCTGTGCTCGACGTATTTGAGGCTGTTATTATAAGAGAATAGCATAGGTGTACCTACCTACAATGTTTTGTCTACCTTCCCGTAGTCATAAGAGCTTAGACAAAACTTTGAAATAATCTTACAGAAAAATACTTACAAATATTGCTATCGATATACAGCAGTATGAATGTACAATTTATCAACTGTAATATAATAATACGAGATAGATATTTGTACAGAATCGGTAGAGCACGTACCGTATGGAAAAAACTTCTGTGAAGACTTCACTACATAATGTAAAACAAATTTGCTTTTTTGTATGCTTAAATCTTTAAAAATACGGAATAATAGTAATTTTTGAGGTTTCAAATGAGATGTCGTAAATAATTAAATTTATTACGCTTACATTGCAAACACAGGCTGAACCCTATGAGATTTATTAAAATAATGTACTAAGTATCGTTCACATGGAAAAGGTCTACAGACCTTTCATATAAAATCATACAATTATTTGCACATCGTCTTGACGATAGAATATTCTGGACTAAAATTGTAAAACTACCCTCTAACCGTATCTATTATTTCAAATAAAGATTAATGTTGTTGTTGTTGTTGCGATCGGACGCGTTCATCCTAGCAAGGAAAATGACAATCAATACCTAGTATAAAACAGAGTAGCTTTCCGTCTGTCTCTGCCTAAGTATGCTTAGATCTTAAAAAATAGGCAATTTTGATTTAAAAGGAAGATTTTTATGTATATTTTAAATCAAACTAAAAACAAATACAATTCGAAACATATCGGAAAAGCCTCTACCAATTAATAATCGAGTATGGTCTGCAGGATTAGGTTTGGAGCGCATCGCTGACAAGCCGTGGCACATCTGCGCGTCGAACGCGTTGTCAGGAGCGGGCCTAACCGACGGCATATCGTGGCTGGCGCGACAGATCAGAGACCTCCATATACAACAGCATTAGAACATGTCCACCGGCGGGGCTACAGCTGTATGCGACCGGAGATACGTCTCATAGACGCCCTTATATGAACTCTGCGAATCAGCTCGATGCAAATTCGCAACACAAACAGTTACGAAGCGAATTCGTGGGACGGGTAAAAAGCCTCTCTTCAACTCGTAAGCTTACGTCGCAACTTAAATTTTTTAGATTTGGTAATAAATTTGTTTCAATTTCGATGCTCTATTGTGGGATACAGTGTGTGCGTTCAATGAATCGGATTGAATTGAATCAACTCTAGATTATACACATATAATATATTGAATTGAATCAACTCTAGATTATACACATATAATATAAGCAGTCGACATTCAATACAGTGTTGAACGTTGAGTACATTTTGATTGAATCCAATGACAACCGAATCGGAGCCAATATGTTTACGCACGGATATGCGCGAGTCCTCGGATTGAAACGATGCGACATCGCCATATATGTAGTTTTGTATACAAATCGCACTCTGCATGCGGGCCCTGTCGACCAATGTAAGTGAACCAATAATGCTATTATTGTTTATATTGTTGACCGGTGTATGGTTAGAGGCTCTGCCTATAAATCAGCGACGCGACGACAGAATTTCGTCACTCTACCTCAGGTTGAACTGGAGGCTTCTTCACCGGAGTATCACAGCACACCATTCAACAATTATGCATGTTTGTTGTTAAAAATATTACAAATTCTATACTAGTTAATGCAACAATATGCAAAATACATATTGTTATTATTATAAATATTCAATAGACCAAGTAAATGGTAAGGGCATTTTCATGACCGGCTACTAAATCTATATATAATATAAACATAATCGCTTCCCGCTGTTTGTACGCTGAGGTCTTTAAAACTACAAACCGATTTTTCATCATCAACATACAGGGTGACTCAAGAAAAAAGGTGGTTCTATATAATACATATATAGTACACGTAGATCTAGACTAGACAACTCAAACAACTAATGTGGAGGTCTGACAGTACATTTGTTTACGTGGCAGGAGCGCGACCACTGTTGATCCAACAAAAGAAAGCTAAAGTCATCTAGCGGCTCATCCCCGAACCTTTATTGAATCTGTTATGTTGGATAGATGCGTATGATCACCGAGTATTTGAATATTGTACAAAATTTTGAGTTGTCTCAGTTTAGATCTAGGTGTGCGATATACAAAAGCATGCGGGCGAAGCCGCTGGCGGAAAACTAGTATAGTTACCTGTATTATATGATTTGAATTTACTTATTTATCTCATTGCCCCTACAGTATGTATGTGTTCGGACAAACTGATAAAAATACATAATACAGGTACGTGTATTATGTACATGGTGCAAGGAAATGAACGAACAGGGGACGACAACATCTGAAGCAGAAGTAGTATGTTCGGTGTGTGCATTGGAACAAGAACTACAACTGATTTTACGGAAGAGACGTCATTAGGAAACGAAAGAATTTATATACTGCTGTCTGAATAAAAACTGAAATATTAGAAATTCTATCTCAATACGTGAACTACCAGGGATAAGATATGTAATGTCAACATTTCAATTAAATATAAGAACATGTTGCTTCTTTAAACAAAAACAGAACGAAAAGTTATTTCGAAAAATAATGTCTCAAAAACTATTCTGGTCAAAGTCTATTTATAAATCATTACAACGAAATACATATTGTTGATTATACTACAGCACTGTAAATGAGTCTGGTCAAATATTATATTACATTGCCCTCTCATATGGGGCACATTTTTAGTCCACGTGGGCATTTTTCAAAATTATACATATATATTATTAATAGGGAATAAACCACTTGGTCCTTAACATATAAGGCACAAAATCAAAACATATTATATTCCTTTTATACACCGGTTAATTGAGACTTGTCAATGTCACGTTTTATCAATTTTTAGTAAATGAAGTTAAAAAATTTATACTAATTATGTCGCACGTTAACAAAATGTAAATTGTTTAGGTTATTTTGCTAAATTTTGAATCGTATCCGTTATTAATTAAGCGCATGATTTGTTTATATTCGTTAATAAAAATATGAACAATATCAGTTGGAGTCCCAAAGAAGATATTTTTATTACATAAAATGTAAAAATCTAATGATACTCGGAATAATTTTATATATTAAGTTTTAGTTGAAAGCAAAAAAATAATAAGTAAGTAACAAATACTCCACAGAAGCCTTTGATAATCAGTAACGATTAAACGTTTAATATAAAGTTTGATAATATTGGAGCAAATTTTGGCAAACTACAAAATGTTTGTTTGGTGCAAGTTTTTATTTGTATAGTAATATCTTCTATTAGGGCTTTATTTATGTTGTTGTTGCTGAGAAAATAATACTCGCATGTTCAAAGAGTATTCATCGTAAAGTTACGTACTTTATGAGATATTGATTTATGTTATATCTATTCACCTGTATTATGTGACAGTTTGATGATGACACAGGTAGTATATAAGCGAATCGTTTTGCAAATTTTATATATAAGGCGTTGTGACACTTGTAAATTTTAATAAACATGGTTCCTACTAATATTTTATTATTTTATTTACGCTCAAATTACCTTTGACTCCATTATACTCATGAATAAATGGCAACTGAATTGCTACATGATATTATAATAACGAAAATATACTACATAATTTAACAGGCTGTTAATATAATCAAGAAACATCTATCGAAGACGGAGAGTTAATGACGTCCACAGAACCTCAGGGATTAGTATTTGTAGAATAGAAGTAAGCGTTTAGGTTTAAATGCATTGAATATTGCGTGTGTTTATTTATTTATTTATTTCAAATGGCACAATAACAGACATCAGACAAAAAAAAAACATTACATATAAAAATAAACTTAAATCTAAGGGCATGCCTGCGCCCAATTATAATTGTGCTCAACATTTGTACTGTCGACAACAATGTAAATATGCAAAGATCTCATATTAAACCATGCATCTAAGTAACCTGCTTACAAACGATAAAAATAACCAGATATTACAATGTTTGTTTAAATTCAATGTCAATCAAATCGAAGTAAATCGAGTTACGCAATAGACCTGTAAGCCTTTGTTTTTCTAAACCGAAAACATCAGGCAGTACTCTTTTATAAAGAAAATAATATTCTTAATAAGGGATATTTTGGCAGAGGGTAGAATTAAAGCTGCATCATAATCATATTATAAAAGCGGGAATTTATAATTATGCATGTTTGTTACTTTTCGCACAAAGCTTACAATTATCCTTATACCAAAGTTTTTATGAAATTTGGTATTAGGATAATTGTAAGCTTCGATTAACATTCAGGCTTCTGTTTATCCCACTTAGTAGTTCCCTAGGGACAGAAGCTGCTGGTGGAAAGCTAGTTTTATAATAATTGTAATGACTTGCGAGTAATTAATTATATTATAAAAAACCCTTTGCAAAAAATAGAACCGACTTCAAGCTTTAAAAAAGTGATAAATAATAAATAACTGAAAAGCGCCTTATTCAAGAAAACGTTATTGAAGTGCTACTTCTTGAATTAGTAGCTTAAGGATTTTTTTATTTTTTAGCTGAGATACATGAAATACAATCCATATCATCTAAATATTTAGGTGTTATGAAAAGAAAAGTTCTGATTCGATTTCGATAAAATTGAACTGGGACCTTTTTGGAGGGACCACCTCGGTCTATTAAGCTGTCGAATAAAAAATAATTTAAAAAATCGGTCAACAATTGGCGGCAAAACATACATCGAACGTCCCGTCGAACATATAACCTCCTTTTGGATATTGAAGTCGTTGTACAAATAGATTTTGCTGCTCTTTTTTCCTCAAAATGTCATGACTCACCTCTTGAATTTATTTTGTTTCCACGTAATGTTTTTTAACGTATAGCAGAAGTTTTTGTAATAAATAAATAAATATTAAACAACATCACTCAAACATTGCTCAGATTCCAAGATGAGTAGCTAAAGCCCCCGTGTTATGGAGTATCCGAGACAGCGAAGGATTTTAAAGCACAATAATTTTTTTGGTACGACCGATTGGTAAGATTGGCAACATTGGGTGTAATGTCTACTAAAAAAAGATCTGTCTTGTACTGTGTGCTAAAGTAAAATAAATTACTTTTTCAAAGTCAAAGTCAAAGTCTAAATAATCTTTATTCAAATAGACTTCTTAAAAGTACTTTTGAATCGTCCAACATTTTTTTCCCTACCACTCGTTCAGGACGTCTTTTGGTTGATAAGAAGAATGAGCAAGAAACTCACCAGCTCTAATAAGAGTTTTAATATCAAATACCTCTTGTTTTACGTTATGGGCCCAGGTACATAATACTGAGATTTAAGTAAAATAAAAGGGTCTTGCAACGTTTTGAGGTTAAGGTAACGGCTGAAACGGAATACATATACTTGTTTTCTAAAAGGAAGGAAAGGACAGGAAAGTAGTGCACACAAACGGAAGTAAACAAAACATCTGGTTCTCATATGAAACTAGAGGGAGCATCAAATTAGAATGTTTGGAAGTTCCATTCAATAATTCACCTATGAAACCAATATCTATTAGATGTAGTTCAAGGGATCAGGGTAAAGTCATAGGTAGCGGCTGAAAAAGCAAAATGGGAGAAGTTCGATGCAAAAATATCTTGTAACAAGAATGTTAGAAAATGCGATGACGCATATTCTAACTTGTACTACGTCTGTGTGTGTTAATGTGTCTTAATGTGGAAGAAGCTTGCCAGTGTCTATGAGCAAAAATCAGAAACTAGCATTTGTATAGTTCAACAACGATTTTTCCAGTAAGGTTATGTATGAAGTACAAATGACGCAGCTTGATATTTTAGCATCAGTTAGTGCTGTGCACGAAAAATAGTTAATGCAGCTAGATTGCATCCCTATCACTATCGAAAGGTGCCAGAGTTGACTACTGTGGACTATGAGCAGAGAATTGTGTTATGCAATTGGATACTGGCTAATACCGACGCGACTTATTAT